TGCGATCAGAAGGTTGATTGTGCCTAAGATCACCTGAGGAAGGTTCGTAGAGAGTGCGTTGCAGCAGAAGTATTGACCTCAGGTCAAAGTATATACACAGGTTTATACGATAATAGAAAGGAATAAGAAACGGCTTAGACTAGCCATGTACTCTAAGGGGTACATTCCCTTATTGCGGCAAAATGCAAACGTGCGACTTTAGACGGTTACAATCCTGTTCCCGCCCAAATCCTCGCTTCTGCAGCTGCCCGATGCTTCTGCTCCGACGGTCCAGATGCTGCCAACCGTACGTGACTCTTTATGCCATTCCGACCTTTCGCCTTCGTACTCGTCTTCATATTCTTCACTTGATACTGATAGGAGTGCACAATATTTCTCAATTTACTATCCGGAACACCCCCTTTCACTCCTGGCTGTAGCAAGTCTCGACCCGCTTGACCACGCCGCTGAGTTCGGAGCAGTGTTGATAATCTGCTGACGGGGTAGTCTCCTCGTGAGGAAGTCGCCTGCCATGTTACCAGTTGGGCAATAGGTCATATCGACCTTGCCTTGTCCACTTCGTCCTTGACGAAGAAGTACCGCAGCGCGATGTGCTTGGTGCGGTTGACGAATCTTGGTTTGTTTGCGATTCTAATCGTGCTTAGGTTGTCGCGGTGTAGGGAAAAGGTTCGCAAGGTTGGAATTTTTGCCTTATTAAGGAGTTCCTGTAGATAAAGCCCTTCGTGAACCCCTGTTATTGCGGCAATTTAATCAGCTTTTGTCGTGACGCAGAGGAGGTACCACTGGGGGGAGGAAATGTACGCTCGGGGAACTTCCAATCCAAGCTTTCTCTGAAGAATAAGTGTCGTTGCTGTGCATGTTGCGCTGCAATGATTGAACCTAAGTTCTCTACGAATGTAACCTCCAATGTAGTCCAGTATATCATATTCTGCAATCTATCAGCTGAGTTTTCATCAGTATCTAGGATGCAACCTCAAGTCCCTCAAAAGTACTGTTTGCATTTTTAGGCTTCTCATGTTGCTGGTTGTCATGTTAAGAGGCTGTGCATAAAAACGAAGTGAACAATACTGCGTATCCGTAAGCCTATCATGTCGCAGGTACTTCGTAGCCGTCCAGCGAAGTCACCTGCGCGAATTTACACCAGAATACCCGTTGGGCCTGGGGTTGCGCCAAGAAAACACCGTCGAGTCACACCCTTTTCTTGTCGGGTCAGACATGGGCTGGTTCCACAAACACCACGAAAAAAATATATATATATATTTCGTTTTCAGGTTAGTTTTAGAGCTTCCCCTAGCTGCTCCAAAAAAAAAAACATCCCGAAGTGGCCTAGTCAGTAGAAAGAGGCACGATGAGATCCTGGGATCGAACCCACCCCCGTGCAGGCGTGTTCTGCCAGCCCCAAGTAGGGGTTAGCACGTGCTCATCTAGGAGTGGATACCCCTTATAAACTGGTTACGACCAGAAAAACAAATTTAACCAAATTTAACCTAGCTGCTCCAAAAATGGATTCCACAACTTCTTGCTATTATTGGCAATTTCCCTAATTTTGCCCGACATTTCAAACTACCCGAGCTCGTTCAACCTCCGCACCCCATTCCCCCTCCTCCCCTCGCCACGGCCGTTCCTGTGCGGAAGAATCATCAGGAGCGCAGGGGCAGCGCAGAACAAGTCGCACCTGCTTTCTGCGAACTGCGTCCTCTTCTATTTCGCCGAACCGTGTTTGCGAGATTAGGTTAGGTTTGCTTCAGATAGGTTCTAGTCGGTTTGAAATGATTAGGTATAGTTTGGTTGGGTGAAGGGGGAACAACTCGTTGCACAAGAAAGTCAACGCGCCAAAACCAGGCTCGATACAGACGGAGCCAAGCGGAGGTTCGACAAGAGACCGAAATCCAAATCATGCTTGAAACCCAAGCAGGGGTAGATAGAACGGCCGAGTTTGCTTCCCGCTGCGCAAATCGCAGGTCTCGCGGTCAGGGTGCTGTTGCTCCGTAGGACAAAGTTGGCGGCAGGCACATTTTTCCAGGAAGCTTGGAAACAGGCCAGCTGAATCTCCACAATATCCTCGAGATAAATCTAGTTGCGATCGACGCGGCAGTTTATATGCGATTGTGTTCTTTTCATTGTGTAGTGCCGAGCAATGTGGAAGGCATAAGTCGCCTGCCACATTTAAAACTTTTCGTAGCTACATTTCCCCTAAACAGCCTGGTTAGGGTATGACTTCCGAAAACAGTCGAAAGATCAGCAAGTCACGACGCAACACCGTCGCAACACCGTCGGAGCCACCGTCGCTCATCTCTGTTGCGACGTTGGGAAATACCATTTCAACGGCGATAAGCGGCTTGATCTATGAAAGGAAGAGCTGAAGGAAAGAGGTGAACGAAGGAATAGAGGAAGTCGGAGAAAAAGCAAGGAGCGAGTTGGAAAGGAAAAGGAAGGGTGGAAGCGGACAGGGGGAGTGAAAGGCGGAAAGCAAAAGGGAAGGGCGGTAGCAGACAGAGTAAGCGAAAGGCGGAAGCGGAAAGGAAGGTGAAAGGCTGAAGCGGAACGGGAAAGGGAAGGGCTTAGGCGGAAAGGGGAAGGGAAAGGCAGAAGCGGAGAAGGAAAAGGAAAAGGCGGAGCTGAAAGAAAGGCGGAAGCGGAAAGGGGAAGCGGAAACGAAGGCGGAAGCGGGAACGAAGGCGGAAGCGGAAAGGGGAAGGTGGAGCCGGCCAGTAGCAAGCAAGCGAGCCTTCCGCCTCCCCCCTCCATGCCCTTCCAAACCACCCAACCGTCCGATCTCTCCCCCTTCTTCCCATCGCTACAACCCTCCCCCGATCCCGCCTCCTCCGCAACCCAACCCTCCCCCGACCCCCCTACCGCGCTCACCAAGCCGTCGCTTCCGCCGGGCTCCAGCGCAGCGCAGCCGGGGGGCGCATCAGACGCGACCATCACTCTACCCGCCGATCCGTCCGAATCGAATCCAACCCAATCCGCGGATCCTTCCAAATCCGATCCAAAGCACTCTGGTGGTGCACCTTCCAAGTCGAATCCGGGCCTTTCCGGTGATCCTAGGGGGCTAGCGACGCCCATTCCCACGCGAAGCGGCGGGCTAGGGGGACTGCTGCAGCTCAGCGACCCCTCCGCGCCCCTTCCTCCGCCTCCCAGTCCGCCACCATCACCACCACTCTCACCGCCACCGCCCTTACCCTCCCCCCCTCCCCCACAGTCTCCTTACGCTCCCAAGCAGCCCTCTCGTGGGTCTTCTTCTACTCAATCCCAGCCGCCCCCTGCCCTCTATCCGCCACCTGGACCACCCGTTTCTAACAGCAACAGCAGCAGCAGAAACAGCAGCAGCGGAAACAGCAGCAGTAGCAGCAGCAACAGCAGCACAGCGTTTCTGTATCCTCCATCCCAACCCTACTCCTTCCCTCCTCCACCCCCTCTCCCCCTCGACCCTCTCACCTCCTCCAACCCCTCCACCTCCCTCTCCACGCCTCTCTTCATCGGCCTGCTAGTCGGTGCCTCGCTGCTCCTCTCCGCCCTCCTCCTCATGCTCTACTGCTTCGTGGGCGAACGACAGGACAGGCCCGGACCCCGCCGTGCCTGGCTATGGAGACCCGCGCCCCACACACACGCCTCTGCCGGTTCGGGTACTGCCAATGCTGCGTCCGGCTTAGCTGGTGCTTCTGGTGGGGTTTCGTCCGGGGATGGTGATACTGCTGCTCCCTCTGCTGGTGGGAATGCAGCAGCGGATGGTGGGGTGGGAAGTGATGGCAGCGGCAGCTTGTCAGCACAATCGCTGTCCAGTCAAGAGCATTGTGACCTTGAGGCTGGCGGGGGAGAGAACGCGGAGGAAAAGGAGGGGGGGAAGCAGAAGCGGAAGGGGAAAAGGTGGAGGATTGTTCGGATTGGGAAAACAGGTTCGGGAGGTGGAGGAAGGGAGTTAGGTGCGGAGTCAGGCTCGGGTGATTCTTCTTCAGCTTCGGGAAGCAGTAGGACGAGTAGCAGCAGCAGCAGCGTGGATTCTTCCTCTTTCCCGGACCCATCTGCCAGGTTTCCCAAGCCTAAGCACAAGTCATGGTTGAGTGCGTTTTCGGGGAAGTGGGGTGACAAAGGGTTGAACAGTGTTGCTGCGGATTTTGAGGCACAGTTGCGGCAAGCGATACGGGAAGAGGGGGAGTCTGCATCGATGTGGGCGATGGATCGCTCTATAGTGAGTATACCGTCTGGGAGGGAATTTGTTGAGTGTACAAAGTCGGGACGGATGGTGTTTGATATGGAGGGTACTCTGGTGGAGATAGAGGAGGAAAGTGAGGAGGAAGAGGAGGATGACGGAGATGGTGAGAAGGACTCCGAGAACGAGGTAGAGTGTATGGACAAAAAGAGTGACTTTCCAGCTCCTTGATGGAAGGATAAACATAATCGTTTTTTTGTTGTCTTCAATGCTCGTCTGACACTTACATAGTGCTTAGCCCACTTATACGTAGCTAAGAAGTTAGTGACATCTGTTTGATACGTTAGGGAATTTTGGACTGTTTCAGTGCTTTGTAGAAAGTTTGGTTCTTGGAGGCAAGTCACAAATATACTCGTGAATCCATACCGAGTACAGAATTTGGAGTTCCTGGCGCGGACGCAGCAAACGAGATCTGCTGCCTTCACAAGTCCGATCCGACAATCCCAAGGGCAAAACCGAGGAAGAACGGACACAGCACCAGGAATTCGTTCGTTAGGAGTCTCTTTCTCCCTCCACTCACCGCCATCAGCGTCCAGTTTTGACGCTCACGCCGTCTGCATCTAGGCCGACCAGTGCCTGATTTCACCCGTTTCAGTCGTCGCTTCGGTTGTACTCTGAGATCAGCGAGTTCAGGCCTCACCCGCGCCGTCCGATTTCCAGATCCGATCTCGTTCGGGATTCCAGCTTCTCGAATTTCGGAACTCGAATTTACAGAAGCTTAGTTCCGCAAAAGCTTTGTTTCGCAAAAGCTCAGATTTGTAGAAACGTCGATTCGCGGATCGGAAGCATGGCGATGACGTCGGGATTCGGGTTGCAGTCGCTGCTCAAGGAAGGGCACAAGCACCTGACGGGGTTAGAGGAGGCGGTGCTGAAGAACATCGAGGCGTGCAAGCAGCTCTCGCACATCACGCGCACGTCGTTGGGACCAAATGGTGAGTTGCTGCTGACTGTTATGAGAAGGAGATGTGCTTACAGGGAGATGTGCTTGTAGGTGAATTTGAGTGGATTAGACGAGCACCTGAAGGGGTTAGAGGAGGCGGTGCTGAAGAACATCGAAGCGTGCAAGCAGCTCTCGCACATCACGCGCACGTCGTTGGGACCAAATGGTGAGTTGCTGCTGGCTGTTATGAGAAGGAGATGTGCTTACAGGGAGATGTGCTTGTAGGTGAATTTGAGTGGATTAGACGAGCACCTGACGGGGTTAGAGGAGGCGGTGCTGAAGAACATCGAGGCGTGCAAGCAGCTCTCGCACATCACGCGCACGTCGCTGGGATCCAATGGTGAGTCTCTCAGTCGTTGTGTGCGATTTGTTTTGTGAAATTATGAGATTCATTTTGTGCGATTTGTTTTGTGCGATTCATTGTGTGCGATTCGTTTGTGGGATTTATCGCGTGCGATCCGTGCTGTGCGATCCATGGTGGACGATACGCGTAATAGTCCGAGGCTATGACAAGCCGATACTCTGGAATGTAGTAGATCGCGAAGATGCGCCCCGGTATTCCCGGTTGTCAGGACCTCTCGACACGAAGAGTTGGTCTCAGACAGTAGAACGTCGACGAGCTGGTGCAGCGACGGATACAAAGCTAGACGTGCGAGTGCCGTCAAGTGTAAATACGATCCTTCCTTCCGGTTTCGCCATTCGAACTTCCTCCAGGTGCTCGCTTCCTATCCGTTAGGTTAGGTTCTCCTCTGAATTGCACGGTCGAAGCGTAGAGTTTATGGAACACCTTTTTATGAGAAATCTTTCTGCTTTGAAACGAGATGATAGTTGATCAGCTGGACCAGGGTTCGTGACCGGTGACGATGTGAATTGCGGGTAGTGTGACAATTCTTGAGGCGCCGCAGAAGTCACCTCGGCCAGCTTCACGTAACTGGTGGTGACGAAAGTGACGAAACTCGAAAGTCATCCCATTGCTTTTGGTGTATTTCCGCTTCTTCCCCGGAGGCATGAACAAGATGATCATCAACCATCTCGACAAGCTGTTCGTGACGAGCGACGCGGCGACCATGGTCGCGGAGCTGGAGGTGCAGCACCCGTCAATATTTACCCCGTATTTTGGGTGTATTTTCCAACCATCCCCTGTCCAGGCATGAACAAGATGATCATCAGCCACCTCGACAAGCTGTTGGTGACGAGCGACGCGGCGACCATAGTGGCGGAGCTGGAGGTGCAGCACCCGTCTAAAATCACCCCATTTTCCCGGTGTATTTCCGCTTCTTCCCCTTTCCAGGCATGAACAAGATGATCATCAATCATCTCGACAAGCTGTTCGTGACGAGCGACGCGGCGACCATAGTGGCGGAGCTGGAGGTGCAGCACCCGGCGGCGAAGCTGGTGGTGCTGGCGGCCAAGGCGCAGCAGGAGGAGGTCGGCGACGGCGCCAACACGGTGGTTTCCTTAGCGGGGGAGTTATTGGCTGGTGCAGAGGAGCTCATTCGATCCGGGCTGCACCCGAGCGAGATCATTGCTGGATATGCCAAGGCGACTGACAAGGTGAGGTGGGGAGGATGTATACGCTGCTCATTCGCTCAGGGCTGCACTCGAGTGAAATCATTGCTGGATATGCCAAGGAGACAGACAAGGTGAGAGTCTATTGCCCCTAGTAAGGGACGCCCAGCAGCAGCAGCAGCAGGTGGGCGACGGAGAAGGTGAGAGTTTGAGGGGTTCGGGGTGAGAGAGGGGTTGAGGGGTTTAAGAGGGGTTAGAGGTAGAGGGTGAGGGGTTTGGATTTTATGGATACGAGGACTGCCATTCCCTTGCTCTGCGTGAAAAGGCAAACTCCAAGCTGACACAAAAGGCGAACTCCAAGCTGACACAAAAGGCGAACTCCAAGCTGACACAAAAGGCGAACTCCAAGCTGACACAAAAGGCGAACTCCAAGCTGACACAAAAGGCGAACTCCAAGCTGACACAAAAGGCGAACTTCAAGCTGACACAAAAGGGCAGTGTGGAGTTGATGCCCCGACCCTTCTCAATCACCCCCATGCATGCGCTCCCCCCACTGACTTGGTGTTGGAGGAGTTAGAGACGTTGGTGGCGGAGGGCAGTGACAAGGTGGACGTGCGGAGCAAGACAGACAGAGGTGTCTTATCCATTCTGCACCCTCTTGTTCCTCACCCCCTCTCACGTCTCTTCCCAATACGTTCCCTTCCCGTATCACCTGCTTCACAGGTGTTGGGGGAGTTAGAGACGCTGGTGGCGGAGGGCAGTGACAAGGTGGACGTGCGGAGCAGGGCGGAGGTGTCTTATACTCTCCAGCCTTGGTTCCTCATTGTCCCCACACTTCCGTGTCTCCCCCATGCGTGTTCTCCCCACCCCGTTTACCAGGTTCTGGAGGAGTTAGAGACGCTGGTGGCGGAGGGCAGTGACAAGGTGGACGTGCGCAGCAAGGTGGAGGTGGAGAAGCGCCTGGTGTCTGCTGTGGCCAGCAAGCAGTTCGGCAGCGAGCCCGTGCTGTGCCCTCTCATTGCCGATGTGAGTGCCGCTCATTGCTGTTGAAGGTGTCTTGTGCCCGCTCATTGCTGGTGTTAGTGACAAGGTGGACGTGCGCAGCAAGGCAGAGGTGGAGAAACGGCTGGTGGCAGCTGTGGCCAGCAAGCAGTTCGGCAGCGAGCCCGTGCTGTGCCCTCTCATTGCCGATGTGAGTGCCGCTCATTGCTGTTGAAGGTGTCTTGTGCCCGCTCATTGCTGGTGTTAGTGACAAGGTGGACGTGCGCGGCAAGGTGGAGGTGGAGAAGCGCCTGGTGTCTGCTGTGGCCAGCAAGCAGTTCGGCAGCGAGCCCGTGCTGTGCCCTCTCATTGCCGATGTGAGTGCCGCTCATTGCTGTTGAAGGTGTCTTGTGCCCGCTCATTGCTGGTGTTAGTGACAAGGTGGACGTGCGCAGCAAGGCAGAGGTGGAGAAACGGCTGGTGGCAGCTGTGGCCAGCAAGCAGTTCGGCAGCGAGCCCGTGCTGTGCCCTCTCATTGCCGATGTGAGTGCCGCTCATTGCTGTTGAAGGTGTCTTGTGCCCGCTCATTGCTGGTGTTAGTGACAAGGTGGACGTGCGCAGCAAGGTGGAGGTGGAGAAGCGCCTGGTGTCTGCTGTGGCCAGCAAGCAGTTCGGCAGCGAGCCCGTGCTGTGCCCTCTCATTGCCGATGTGAGTGCCGCTCATTGCTGTTGAAGGTGTCTTGTGCCCGCTCATTGCTGGTGTTAGTGACAAGGTGGACGTGCGCTGCAAGGTGGAGGTGGAGAAGCGCCTGGTGTCTGCTGTGGCCAGCAAGCAGTTCGGCAGCGAGCCCGTGCTGTGCCCTCTCATTGCTGACGTGAGTGCCACTCATTGCTGACGTGAGTTGCTGTTGCCGTCGCCAGGCTGGGGGGCCTCTGGTTGCACCTCTGGCCTTTACTCAGGTTGTGTCTCTGTTTGCACTTGAAAAAATGAGGCGGAGGTGGAAAAGTGCATCGTGGCAGCTGTGGCCAGCAAGTTAGGCAGCGAGCTGTGCCGTGCTGTGCTGTGCTGTGCTGTGCTGTGCTGTGCCCTCTCATTGCGGACGTGAGTTGAGTTTCTTTGGAGAATGTATTGGAGTTGAAATTACTTGTGGGAAGTCTATCCAACCATCCACTTTGTAACCCTCTCCATCCGTCCTTATCCCTCTTCACCCCTCCATAACCCTTCCTACGCCTCCTCACAACAGGCGTGCATGCAGGTGTGTCCCAGCAACCGCAACAATTTCAACGTGGGCAATGTGCGAGTGGCCAAGATACTGGGAGGCGGCCTGCATGACTCAGCCTGACCACTTCCCATCCCTCTCAATCCCTCCCTACCCCTTTCTATCCCTCCATACCCCTCTTCTCCTTTTCCTCCATCTCCTTGCTACAGGCGTGCATGCAGGTGTGTCCCAGCAACCCCAACAATTTCAACGTGGACAATGTGCGAGTGGCCAAGATACTGGGAGACGGGCTGCATGACTCAACCTTACAGCCATGTAACCCTCCCCTCTCTATCCCTCTCTACCCCTCTGTAACCCGCCAACACCCGCAGGCGTGCATGCAGGTGTGTCCCGGCAACCCCAACAATTTCAACGTGGATAATGTGCGAGTGGCCAAGATACTGGGGGGCGGCCTGCATGACTCCAAGGTGGTGCGAGGCATGGTGCTCAAAACGGACTCCACGGGGACCATCAAGCACGCAACTAAGGCCAAGGTGGGTTCTGTGAGGTGCTTTTTGGTTCTGTAAGGTGCAGTGCGGTGCTGTGTGGTATTGGGATGTGCGATAAAATACTGGGGGGCGGCCTGCATGACTCCAAGGTGGTGCGAGGCATGGTGCTCAAAACGGACTCCACTGGGACCATCAAGCATGCCACCAAGGCCAAGGTGGGCTCTGTGCGGCGCTGTGTGGTATTGGGACGTGCGAATGGATGCTGGGCAGTGGGTTGCATGACTCCAAGGTGGTGCGAGGCATGGTGCTCAAAACGGACTCTACTGGCACCATCAAGCACGCCACCAAGGCCAAGGTGGGTGCTGTGCGGTGCAGTGTGCTTCTGTGCGGTATTGGGTCGTGCCAGTGGATAGGGGGGGGCAGGATGCGTGATCTTAAAGTGTCTGCATAGGTAGTGGGGAGGTTCAGACGCATTAATACGTCTGCTGATTGTGAGCAGACCACTGTGTTTGTGGCTCCTCTAGGCTATGTGTGCGCACATGTGGTTGCATGCGTCCTGACTCATGTGACTGCTGGCTTACAGCGCGCCTTTAGAGGAGGAATGGTTGGAAGCGTTTTGCGTTTTCGACTCATGTTTGCTCCCCGTGTGTTTCTTTGCACACGCTTGTGTTTCTGTGTGTGCTTGTGTGCATGTGCGTGGACGTATGTGTGTGTCTTGACGCCCGTCGTTGCACGTGTGGAGTGGAGGGCAGATCGCGGTGTTTGGAACGGGCATCGACACGCAAGCCACGGAGACCAAGGGCACTGTGCTCATTGAGAATGCCGAGCAGGTGCGGTGGGAGTAAGAGAGGGGGGGAAGGGGAATGAGTGAAGATGCAGATTGACCAAGACCAAGGGCATTGTGCTGATTGAGATCACAGAGCAGATGCACTGGGAGCAGAGAGGGGGAAAAGTGAGTGCGGAAAGTGTGGTGTTCTGTTGGGATGGGAATCGATGCGGGCTACGGAGACCAAGGGCACGGTGCTCATTCAGGTCTCAGAGCTGATGCACTGGGAGCAAGAGCGGGGGAGTGGGGAGCAGGGGAGCAGGGAGTGGGGGTGAGTGAGCGACGGTCGCAGCGAGAGATCAAGAGAGCAGGATGGAGACTGGGTAGAGAGTGGGAGAGGGAGGGCGAGTGGAAACTGGAAGGAAAGATGCCGAAGGGCCTGATTGGACGGCGGGCTGAAGGTACATCGCCCTGTTTCAGCCCGCCTTTCTCGTCGGCCCGACAGCAACGTGCCACCTCCAACCAATGCTTTGCTCCCCTCAATAAGGAAGGGGGCATGTACCATGTATGTGCAGGTAGTTTGTGACTCCTGCTGGTTGGGGTGTGCACACAGGCTTAAGCACTTAGCAGTGATTATGCATTTGTGCTTACATGATGCATGTGCTTCAGCTGGCACTTAATGCCAACACTTACAGGCACTTACTTGATGCCCCTGTTATCCCCCTTCCTCTCCCCAAACCCCTTCTCCTTCCTGCTCCCCTTCCCTGTCCCTTCCCCTTTCCCTTTTTCTTCCCCTTGCCCCTTCCCTGTGCATCAGCTGGAGAACTAGGCCAAGTCAGATGAGGCGAGGTGGATCAGGCGATCAGGGAGGTGCCGGGCTCGCCTGAAAACCACTGATTCCACTCCGTTCTCTTGCTCACTGTCTCCCTTTCTGCACTCAATGTCATTTACTCCCCGTCACCCATCAGCTGGAGAACTATGCCAAGTCAGAGGAAGCACGGGTGGAGCAGGCGATCAGGGAGGTGGCGGAGTCAGGGGCGACGGTGGTGGTGAGCGGACAGACGGTGGGCGAGATGGCTCTGCACTTCTGCGAGCGATACAAGTGAGTGAGGGGGCAAAGCAACGAGGTGGTGGGGGATGGGGCGAAGGAGGAGGTGCCATGAGGAGGCAGGTCAAGGAGGTGATGTTCTATCGATCTGGCCGAGGAGGGAGCTCTGGTTTTTATCAATAATGATTCCAGTGTTGTCAACTCCTCGTTCTGTTTCCTGGAATTCACACTCTCGTGCTTGCTTGCTTGCTTGCTTGCATGTATTCATGCGTGCTTGCTCTATAGGTCTCTCCAGTCTCCTGAGGTGCTGCAAAAGTGCTGGCAGGCACCCATGTATGAAAAGTCGATTTTTGAGTCGACTCAAAATTCGAGGTGCTGGCAGGCAGGCACCCATGTGTGACACCTATGTGTGACACCTATGTGTGTGTTTCTGTGCACCTGTCGACTGTGTGTCTCCCACATCCCTCACCATCCAGGCTCATGGTGCTCAAGATCTCGTCCGAGTTTGAGCCACTTTGAGGTGCCACTACCACTACCATGCTACTAGCGCCCATGTGTCTTTCCTTCCGTCTCTCTGTGTGTCTCTGTGTGTATTGCTGTATCCTGTCCCCCACCATCCAGGCTTATGGTGCTCAAGATCTCTTCCAAGTTTGAGCCACTGTGAGGTGCCACTTCCACAACCATGCTGCATGTGCCCATATTGCTGTTTCCTGTGCTCCCCCTTCCCCCTCCCCATCCAGGCTCATGGTGCTCAAGATCTCTTCCAAGTTTGAGCTTCGGCGGTTCTGCCGCACCACTGGTGCTGTCTCCCTGGTGAGTAACCTGGTAACCCTGTCTCCCTGTTGAGTAACCTGGTAACCCTGTCTCCCTAGTGAGTAACCTGGTAACCCTGTCTCCCTGCTAAGTATCATGGTAACCCTGTCCCCCTGGTGAGTCCTGGTAACCCTGTCTCCCTTTTAAGTATCCTGGTAACCCTGTCTCCCTGCTAAATAACCTGGTAGCCCTGGATTCATTGCTAGCGCAACCCAATAAGCTAGCACCACCTTGCTGTTTACCCACTTGTTGAATTGCCCCTTGGAGAAATCTCACCGCATTATTGAGCTTTTGTTTTAGGCGCTGCAAGAGTTGTTTACCAGTTTGTTGAGTTGCCCCTTGTAGAGTCTGACTGCCTTATTGAGTTCAACTTGAGAAGCATTCAGTCTCTGCGTTTTTTCACGCTTGATTGTTTGCGCACGAGTTTTTGGCTGATGGTAACTGGTCGTTTCTTCAACTCATGTCTTCTTCCGTGTGGTGCCTCTCTCCTTTGCATGCACCGCTCTACCCTTTGTACCTTTCTCTCTCGCAGGTGAAGCTACAGAAGCCAACAGCGGACGAGCTTGGCTTTGCAGACTCTGTTTCCGTGCAGGAGATAGGCGGCAGCACGGTGAGTGCAGGAGATAGGCGGCAGCACGGTGAGTGTTGTTGCTGCTGCTGTTGCTGGTACGAGTTGTGCTGTGCACATGTAAAAATATTAGAAAGTGTATTGGTTCGGGCCTGCATGTTCTGTGCTGCTGCTGCTGGTGTTGTGTCTGCCGTTTGTGAAGACTTTGATGCATGCAGACGAGGGGGGAGAGGGGGGAGATGGCGCTGATGAGCGGGTGCTGTTGCCACTGCTGCAGCAGCTGCTGCTGTTTGTCAACCATTTTTCGCTTGATTCAGCCGTTGATACTCTTCCCTCAACCCCCCTTTTCCCCTCACTCCCACCATTTACCACTCCCCCCGGCATCCCGGCCCTACTACTCCCCCTCCTTTCAACTTAGGTGGCAGAGATTTATGCAGGTCTCGCTTTCCATCTTTCCCCAACTCTGCTTCCTTTCCCCTCGCACTGCTTCCCCTCATCTGCCCCCTTTCCCCCAACGCCAGGTGGTGGTGGTGGAGAATGAGTCGGGCATCAATCTGGTGGCGACGATGGTGCTGCGCGGCAGTAATAGTGGAGGTTCATACAGGTCCCCCTCGCAACCCTTCCCCCCTCTCCCACTCCCCCCCCTCTCCCCCCCTCCCCCCTGTATGCCACAGGTGGTGGTGGTGGAGAATGAGTCGGGCGGCAATCTGGTGGCGACGGTGGTGCTGCGCGGCAGCACGGACAGCATATTGGATGATGTGGAGAGGGCCGTGGACGATGGCATTAACACGTACAAGGTGAGACGCACTGGGGTGGGTTATGGCGTGGGGCATGGATATATGGCAGCACGGACAGCATTTTGGATGATCTGGAGAGGTCTGTGGATGACGGGATTAACACGTACAAGCTGGGAAAGACATGGCATGGCGTGAAAGGGGTGCGGCATGGGGCATGTCGGCATGGGCATGACCGTGGCAGCACAGACAGCATATTGGACGATGTGGGGAGGGCTGTGGACGATGGCATCAACACCTACAAGGTGTGATGGGGGATAGACATGGCAATGGCATTGTATGGCAGTGGCAGCACGGACAGCATTTAGATGATGTGGAGAGAGCAGTGGATGGCGGAATCAACACGTACAAGGTGCATTGGGGGTCTGGTTTTGAGGCGCGCTTGGGGGATGGTTTGGGTATGATTTGGGGCTTGGCATGGTCATGGCAATGGCATCATGGAGAGCTTTTTGGATGACGCAGGGAGGGCTGTGGATGATGTCATCAACACTGCTTCACTCCGCTCCACCGAGATTCGCTTTACTACACTGGACCACACCTCACCGCACTCCATCTTCTGTACCCACTGTCTTTTCCACCAGGCCCTGTGCCGTGACAGCCGGGTGCTGCCTGGGGGAGGTGCGACTGAGATCGAGCTGGCTAGACACACTCTACTGCCCTCTTACCGCACTTCACCGCACTGCACCCAATCCATCCTGTGTGTGTGCTGTCCCGCCCATCCCGTCAGGCGCTGTGCCGTGACAGCCGGGTGCTGCCTGGGGGAGGTGCGACTGAGATCGAGCTGGCGAGGCGCCTCAAGCAGTTTGCACGGACACAAGTGGGGTGAGTGGGGTGGGTAAGGGAGTGAGGGAGTGTGTGGTGGAGTGAATGGAAGAGAGTGAGGGAGCTGGGGGGGGGGGGGGATCGAGGATGGTACATGGTGTGCGTGCTCTTGGGAATACGAGTGATTGAAGAGCATGGGCATGTACAAAACGAAGATGTGTTTTAGATCCTACTGGTTCCGAACCTGCTGTTGTGGAGTCTGGAATTGCTGTGAGAGGCTGGGAATCACCGAGATGCTCTCTCTGCCCTCACCCCTCTCTGCAGCTAAACTCCCTCCCCACCTTCGTTTCGTAGCCGGTACGCTGTCTGACAAGAATAACGATGCACTGAGCGTCATTCTTCCTTTTTCCATTCCTCTCCCTCCCCCCCTCCTTCCCGCCCCCCTTCCCCCTTCCACTCCCCCCCATTACCTCCTTCCACCCCCCGCCCCCTCCCCCGTCCCCCTAAACCTCGCCCTCCCCCTCCTCATCCCCTTCCCCCTCCCGCTCCCCTTCCCCCTCGCCCTCCCCTTCTCTCCCCTTCCCTCCCATTTTCTCCTCTCGTCCCCCCATTCCCCCTTCCCCTTCCCCCTCCCCCTTCCACATTCCTCCTCCCCTCCACCCCCCATCAGTCTGGACCAATACGCCATAGACAAGTACAGCGAAGCTCTAGAGGTCATTAAGAGAATGCTGGCGGAGAATGCCGCATGCTGGCGGAGAATGCCGGCATAGACGTCACTAAGATTCTCTCCCTGTCTCCCCCCCTCCCCTCCATCTGTATTTCCTACCAGTTCAGTCTGGACCAATATGCAATCGACAAGTACAGTGAAGCTCTGGAGGTGATTCCACGCACGCTAGCAGAGAATGCCGGCATGGACGTCACCGAGATTCTCTCCCTGTCACCTGTCCCCCTCCCCTGTCCGCCACCCCCCCGTTCCAGTTTGGACCAATACGCAATTGACAAGTACAGCGAGGCCTTGGAGGTGATTCCACGCACGCTGGCGGAGAATGCCGGCATGGACAACAAAGCTTCCCCTCCCATTCCCACTTCTCGTCCCCTCCCTCCCTCCCCCAGTCTGGACCAGTATGCGATCGACAAGTACAGCGAGGCACTAGAGGTCATTCCGCGCACGCTGGCGGAGAACGCCGGCATGGACGTCACTGAGATTCTCTCCGCGCTCTATGCTGCCCACTCCGGTGGGCCGGATGGCACGGGCGGCAATTTCCGTGTGGGAGTGGATGTGACGGGTGCGGGCGTGAGGGACCTCACAACTGACAATATTTGGGACCTTTTTGCCACAAAGTAAGTGTGCCACGCATCCCACCACTGACATTGTCAAGTGAGAGTTTTTATGCTACCAAGTACGTACGCTGCTGTTGTGTGTGAAGCCCTCTGGTTATTTGGGCATCACACAATAATCCGGCTTGCTTTCCCCGCCATGCACCCTCTTTCTCCCCCAGGTATTGGGCCATCCGGTTTGCTGCAGACGCAGTGACTACGGTTCTTCGGGTGGACCAGGTGTGTGCAAACCTGCTCTCTGCGTCTCAGTGGCACATGAATGCTTCATACTCTTCCACTTGATGGAACGCGGCCTGCATGTGTTGCCCTGCTCTACACTTCCACACTTCTGTGCTTCGTTGTTTTTCGACACTTCTGGGCTTCGTTGTTTTTCTACCCTTTTCCCCCCTCCACGTCTCTCATTTACCTGCCTTCCCTGTTTGCGGAACTGTCGCTCATTTACCTGCCTTCCCTGGTTGCTGCCTTCATGTCATGTGTCGCAGATCATCATGGCCAAGGTTGCTGGTGGTCCTCGTCGGGGCGATAGGCCAATGGACGAGAGTGAAGATTAGTGCAGGGCTGTGGTTTTAAACATGTGTCCACCTTTTTGCCGTTAAAGAGATCAGTGCGGTATCTGTTGCACATGATCATGCCCATACTCTTGATCATATCAGAGAATAAAAAATCGTCCAGTCAAATGCTGATATGGTAATGCAGTATCAATACCAAAGATTGCCACTTCCAAATATCAGCTGATGGGACACAACAAATCACAGATTCGCTGTTTACTTCATTTTCCCTGGCTGGATCCCCTAGCTGATGGACCAATCTAAGGGTGTATACCTTGACACAAGGGGGACACAAGTCTAGCTAACAAGAGCCTACCTGTGCACAACTACTACAAGGTAGCTGGTCTGCAACCGCAAGAGTGTCCTGCGAGTGTGGCAAGCAAAATGATGACGTGTGCCAGCCGGGAATCGAACCCGGGTCTGCACCGGGCTCATGGCAGGGTGCTATTCTACCACTAGACCACTAGCACTTAAACGTTATATGAGGCGAGCATTATGTTTATAGAGGTAATGGATATGCACACCATCCTTATAGCTATCTCATGTCACCACCAGCGGGACATGAGAAGCACCTACTCCGCATTTATGCTGCTCATAGAGGCTCTCAACAGCAGCTATAAACTCTGCATGCATCTTCTCTACTGCAGCGTCAACGGTCTCAGCGTCGGGTACAGAAATCGGTTTCCCAACCACAAGGGTCATGGGCTTCTGATGTGGAATGGGGGTTCCCCACCTTCCCCAGAACAGCATTGGTGCAAACATCAACTTACGAGACAGTACAGTGTGGAAGGAGCTGCGAGGGAACCAGTAGCTGTATACGTCCTTCTGGCCGAAGGAGAAGACGGGAATAATTGGAACATTAGACTCCACTGCCAGCCGTACGAAACCTAGTCGTCGCTTCAGAAACAATACCTGCAGCACGCGTAACATCCAGGTCAGATCATTGCACGGAAAAATGATGCATGCACACAAGCGTATGGCATGACCATCGCACCTCTCGAGAAGGTTCAAGCAGCAATGATTCTTGCAAGCCACCCGGAACAATGACGCAAGACGTCCCCGAAGCCAGAAGATTCGAGAACTGCTTCCGCGTCGCTGGTGCCATGCTGAGCCACCGCCAGATATGGCGAACAAAAGGCACGTAGGTCAAGGCGCTGCTCCCAAGAATGCGAATCTTTTGCAACGGGAACAGCCCAGACAAGGGAGACAGGGCAACTGCGGAGATTGGAAAAACATGGTGGGGTTCCAAGGCAACAATATACGCCTTGTCAGGATCGAGTGCTTGGTGGTCCTCGTATATCATCTGAAAGGTACAATCGATGCTGGTCAGCATGCATATGAAGGAATTACCTCAATCATCAAACTAGTAACTACTGGTCGTCGATGACAAGCTCACGTTAATTGGGAAGTATGTTGACGCAGTTCTGGCGATAAAGGAAGCAATCTTTATCCCGAATTCGGACTCAGACACGGGAATAATCACCAGCGTCACCAGAACGACGAGGACTGCCACCGAAGTTTTGCTCGGAAGGTGGTAAATGGCAATCGCTGCGGCTATAGTGTTGAAATGGAAGAGTCCGAGCCAGATGAACAGGGCAACCATGACCTCCATCTGCAACAACCACAAGCTGATGATAAGCTCCATATGTCCCAAGAGAGACTGAGCTATTCGCTGAAGCAATCAGTAAAAACGCTCAGACCTGTCGAAAAGCTTTCCGGCTTATGTGCCGTGAGGAGACGGAGTTGTCGCAAGCTTGTGCCATCGCCAAGAAATTTGGGAAGGAAAGCAAATACGCTAACACCAATTCAACTACCTCTACAAGACCTCCTTGGGGGGCGTTAATAACGTCAGACAGCCTCCTTTAGGAGGCCCTCGGCCGTTTCGACAAACTACCCCACAACTCGGAGGTGGCAAGATAACGTAAGGACATTCACTGAACGAAAGGCATTTATCTTGGCAAGAACCTAGATACACTGACGGCTGACTAACAGCTGAGCCGTTCTCGCGTCACATGCGTAGATGGAGCGTCAGGACAGTCGGAACTAGTAAGAAACGAGCTACTAGAGTGACGGCAAACGGACGACGAAACGTAAGTCAAAGGCAAATGCGTTCATTTCTCCATTTCCGTGAGCTGACTTGCGCTTCAAGCATCTTGGCATGTGAGCAGACTCCGACATTGTCGAGAGAGCTTGATGGAGACGTTGACGTGTTTTTCATGCGTCGGAAATTCCGTTGCGGTCGTCGTTATCGTCGCCTTCGCTTCATGCCTTCGAGCGAGAGGGAAAATTCGTGGCTGTGGTCGTTCTCGTGATTCGGTGAACGGAAGCCTCTTGACAGACCAGTTTCAACCAATCAAATTTTCCCAACTGGTGCTGGCGTGTGTAAAGGTAGCCCAGAAAGCTGGGAAGGTGGGACAAATCGAGGAGATTCCCTGATACCGTCACTGGCGGAAAAGTTTTTGCCCACAGGGCATCTACGTGTCACAGAGCAGCAGTGGGGCTGCACTGACGTGGACAGGCCCTAATTTTCAATCAATGCGTCATAACCGAAGTGAAAACACGTGGCTGGGACAGGAATCAACACGCATTAGTTGACCTCTAAACTACACCTACCAGGAGAGAATTGTCATTGCACAAATTCATAATGAACCAGCTGTCTACTATTTCTTCATCCCAGGCAGACGGCGCGTGGGAGTCCGCATGGTGACAAATTCCTCTGCAGCTGTTGGGTGAATTCCCACCTGCAACACAAGAAATTGCATGATATATTGAAAACGTAGAAGCGATACTGTACACCAAGCTTAAATTGCCACAGCATTGCCTCAAACGATACAACTCTCAACTTACCGTGGAATCAACCTGCTTCTTCGTAACGTTGCACTTCATTGCAATTCCAAGTCCCTGCAGTGAAGCGAAGGAAATTAGGAGACATGAGAGTTCATTTTTGAGAGCAGAAACTGAAGTCGAACGCATTCACAAGCCAGTCAACCATGAAGATGATTTATGTTGGAACAGCTGAAGGCATACATCATCACACCAGCACATTAATACCTTCAGCACACATCAGCATCCAACCACACTTTCATTAAAACGACAGCATCCTTCTCACATCACACCTTGACTCGCTCTAATACGTATGCGGCATCCGTGGCACCTGCACCACCTTCCTGCATCACTCTGCCTGCCTCAGTCCCACTCCCGCTCACCTGCCTCCTCACCTGCATGGCTGGCTGGACTCACCTGCATGATCTCAGCGGCGTCAAGTCCGCACATGGAAGCACCGAGCACTCAGTCCATGACTTTTGAGTCGACTCAATAGTCACCTGCATTGCCCTCACCTGAATCCCTCTCACCTGCATCTCACCTCCCTCGCGGTCACCTGCATGATCTCAGCAGCATCGGGGCCGCACATGGAGGCACCGAGCACTCAATCTGTGACTCTGAGTTGACTCAAAAGTCACCTGCCCCTCATCAGCTTTGCCCTCACCTGCATGATCTCAGCGGCGTCAGGGCCGCACATGGAGGCACCGAGCACGCGGTCCGTCTCCGAGTCCACCAGCAGCTTCATGTACGTCTTCTCCACACGGCTAGAGGGGAGGAGGGAGGGAAGAGGGGAGGAGGGTGGGAAGAGGGGAGGAATGCAATTTGTCAATCAAGGTACACAGGTGTACGTACCCTCATGCCATTGTCTCCGAGCCCACCAGCAGCTTCATGTACGTCTTCTCCACTCGCCTGAGTGGGGAGAGGAAGGGAGGGGGGAGGAAAAAGCATACTAGGGACTTGGCAAAATGCGAAGGTGTACATGCCATCCTCACATCAAGATAACACGAACATGCCAAGCTGCGAGGATATTCATGCAGCACATGGCGAGACACATAAGCATGCATCGCATCCCCCTCTCACCCCAAGATGGTGTTCTCCATGGGGTAGAAGGAGGACGTGAACACGAGCACATCAAGATGCCCGAAATGGTGTTCTTCATGGGCAGAAGGAGGACGTGAACACGAGCACATCAAGATGGGAGCGCACTCACAGCAGCACAAGGAGAGATACATGAGCATGCATGCCCTCTCACCCCGAAATGGTGTTCTTCATGGGGTAGAAGGAGGACGTGAACACGAGCACATCAAGATGGGAGGGCACTCACAGCAGCACAAGGAGAGATACATGAGCATGCATGCCCTCTCACCCCGAGATGGTGTTCTTCATGGGGTTGAAGGAGGACGTGAACACGAGCACATCAAGAGCACATGGGAAGTCGTGGCAGCACATGGCGAGACATGAGTAGACATACAGGACTGCACTACATGCCATCTCACCCCGAGATGGTGTTCTTCATGGGGTTGAACGACGACGTGAACACGAGCACATCGCTGCTTGAGTTCTCCACCGCCTGCTTCTCCGTCATGCCCACCACTGCCAGGGGCGGCTGGCTGCTCAGCAGGCGAGGAAGAAAAGGCATGGATTGAGGACAGGGCAAGCAAAAAGAATGGTCGCAGTGAGTAGAGTGGTGCTGGCCCTCTCCTCTCCACCGCCTGCTTCTCCGTCATGCCCACCACTGCCAGGGCGGCTGGCTGCATGGCAGGGAGAAAGGAAAGGCATTGGGTCAGGGCAAGCAGGCGACAAAAAAGTTGCATTGAGCAGCGCACTGCCTGCTCTCTCCCCTCCTCCACCTGCTTCTCTCTCATGCCCACCACCGCCAGGGGCGGCTGGTTGCTCGGCAGTGGAGATTAGGAGAGGGCAGGGGAACGGGAATAGCTTGAGCACGCCCGCACACACACTCATGTGTGAGCGGATTGAAATGCCTCCAGCACCTGTGACTTATGGAATCCATGAACCAGCTTATGAGTTGACTCAAATACTGGAGCAACTGCACACAAATGTGTAGGCTGTGATCCCTCGCAGCAACTATGCCTTATTAAATATACGAACGTTTGGCGAGAGAACTTCAGTGTAATCGACTAACGAGATGAGACTATAGCCGGTTGGTGCATAAGATTTTC